CATCCATAAATACTAAAATATTAAATAATAATTTTATTACAATCATGACTGAATCAGAAGACTGATAATCTCTTGTCTTTAAACACTAAGTATGGTGAATGATAAACATGCTGGCTTGTGGGGGGGGAAAGCCAAAAATATTTCTTGTTTTTTCTGTGGTTAAAATCTGTTGCCTTTGGTGATTAGCACCTGTTGCTCAACAGCAGGGGATTAAGTAAAGGATTAATTTCTAGGATTATTTTTTCTCTCTTACCAAGATGTCTTCCTTCTTATTTGTCAGGCAGGAGGGAGGGTTGGAGCAATAAACATTTATTGAAGCAGGAGAAGAGAGTCATGCTCACAGAAGGAAAAACTTTTACACAAGCAAATGTGCATAAGCACACACACACATTCATAATACAATTCATCATCACGGACTTACATGTTGAGCCCAACAATCTGTCTCATAACTGACGTACTTACACAGACATAGCTATACTTACACAGATATACATATAGAGAAAAAAGAACCCGAGCAGAAAGAACCCATTTATTCTGGATGAAAAATAACCTTTAATTTTTATTGTATAGAAAAAGCAAAAGATTCTACCATTTTATTACTAAATGTATTAAGCCCAAGTCTGTAAGAAAAAACCTTTTTCCTCTTTAGTAAGACTAAGTCTACCTTGCTGTTATAAAAAGTCAGTTCCAATCCCATGATAAGAGGAAGCCTGCTTCATGTTTCTGCTCTCTGCATCTCCTTCTTTGTCTCTCTCTCTCTGCATTGTGTGCATTGCTCTTTTCTTCCTCCTAATTTTACCCCTTTTGCTCTTTGTTCTTAGTTCTTTATCCATTTTCTCAGAATACATGATCACATGTTATTTCAGTTATCAAAAATTTCACAAGTGTAAACAAATTTCAATCATAAATTGAGTAAGAAATTTACAACAAAATGCTTACATGTAATGCTATTAATTATAGTCGTCTAGCCAGACATTTATTTTCTGTCACTAGCTCCACAGGTTAATTGCATAGTAAAACTAATTCTTGTGTCAAAGTTAACAATGAACTTTGGTATAGATAAATCCAATGAATATTTTATCTTCTGTCCTGGTGCCTATAATAAATCATTCTTTTCATTTTATGACCTTTTGTCGCGAGCAGGGTCTCTTATCTATTAAGAGCAAGGGGTTTGAATCCCCCGCGGGGAGAGGAGCGACAGGTCCTGCTCCACTCAGGGATCGTATACTGGATTTGACTGTGAGTTCATCAGCTCCTCGAGAGGGAAGAGAGTACGCCAAGAGACAGAGAGTTTGTGGAATTCAGTTGCTTCTTTAATGATAATGCACAGCAAGCAAACACAAACGCAAATGCTAAGTTTATTGCTACAACAAGATATTGTCACATTTACTATAGGTTGCCTCTAACAATATGCCTAATAAGTTGCTAATAAGTTGCTAATTACCAAAGAAATAAGCATAGCAATAGACAAGTCATTCATTCATGGATTATACGACCTGAGTCCTTATGTTGGTTACAGGTCCAGAGTCCGGTAAGGCAGGGTCAGGCTGTGGCTTCCAGATAATTTGACCTCGTAGGGTGCTTGACCACGAAGCTGGAGGCGTTCGTTGTCTCTCGGCTTGAAGTCCAAGCGGAGCTCGACCACGAAGTTGAAGGTGTTGGTCTCTCGGTTAATTCTTTGATGACCGGGTGCTGAGGAGGCTTTGTCCGGAGGATCACGTTAGCCAGTCATGGCTACAAGTGTGATGAAGTGCTTCGGACAGGCTCCTCTTTTATGCTGAATTTGGAGTTACTGATGACGTACATGGAAGATAACCACTCGTGTCTGGTTATCTCAGCACAGCTTCATTTCCAGACTTGCCTTTACAAGTACCAGACATGTCCAGACATGTCTTACAAGTTTCCTATTACAAAATGGAGTTGGTCCTGTTTAAGGGCCTGCTCCTTACACCTTTGGATAATTATTTTACAGCTATAAGGAATGTATTCTAAGTTGTAAATGCCTGTATTCTGTCTCAGAAGCAATTAAATCGTGATATGTGAAGGCTTGCAGAATTCTAGTTGCAGTTTTCATATAACTGAAGGCTTTAATAGCAGTCTGATCTTAAAAGGCTTAATAATTTTTAGCATAATTTTAGGAATTATTTCTTAATCATCAATAGTAATTAAGAAATAATCTATTTGTCTAAATAGCATCAGTGTAAGACAGCACTTCTTCATTGATCTATGAAAATTTGGACAAAGCATGCATACACATACATATATATATGTGGCATATTAATACTAGGAATCTCTACTAAAATATCTTACCTTCAGCTTTGTGTGCAAGGGTTCATTCAACATCCATGGTGAAACCGTCTCAGCAAGATCACGTGCTAGTCTTTAGCCTTCCCTAGATGCCTCCTGACAATCTTATATTATGTTTTTGTTTCTTCACCTCCTAATTTCTTTGCCCAAATGTTGTTCATTTCAAACTGGGATATTGTGCAGAATAGTTTTATGTCAACTTGATACAATCAAAAATCATCATCAGAGAGGAGGGAATCTCAGTTAAGAAAATATCTTCATAAGATGAGGCTGTAGGCAAACCTTGTAATATTTTCTTAATTAGTGTTGATGGAGGAAGTCACTGCCTATTAGGGATCTTGTCGTTCTGGGTTCTATAAAAATGTAGATTCTGAATTATGTTAGCAACCTACATGCAAGATATATCAGTAATAGAAACTTCCTGAGCACTGGATCAAAATCCCCGTGTTAAATAAAGTATTTTATGATCACTCTTTCATAGGGTATAATCCTTGGGAAATGCAAACTACCTATGCATAATTAATAGCCTCCAATTAGAGTATAAAAAGCAGCAAAAGAAATAGTGTAAAATATATGTTCCATATGTTAATGCTATAGTAGAACCACAAATTGCAAAGAGTATAGTCAAAGTTTATACAAATGAGTTCACATAAGATTGACAACTCTAACCATAGATTTAGGGATATGTATGTATGCACCTCCATACCCACTCCCATTTCCTACACAAACCACACACATATGCAGGGTTTTAGTCAAAGTACAATAAAAAGTAAGGGATTTCTTGATTAGAGATTTCTTTTTTTCTAAATATAAAATACCAACATCCAAATCATACTATAATTTTGTTATGATGATATGATAAACTTGAATTTCCACATAGTGATATTTACACAAAATTAACTGCATATTGAAAGTATAGAACATAGTTCCTATTCAATACAGTTAAAAAATTTAGGCTTCAGTCAGTATATACTAGTAACTACTTGCATATCTTCTTGAATTTGGATTTAAGACACAATTTTTGTATATGTGACTTTTCTGTTCCAATGACTTTCTTTACTACCAAACCATAACACTGGCAATCCAGTACTATATGTCAGTAGTGCACATTTGGGTGATGAACAAAACTTGCAGGAAAGATTCCTTGCCCTAAAACTTGTGCAGCTCAGAAATAGAAAACACTACTTTGCCTCCTTTTAATGGAAAATGTTTTCCCTTTTGGGATAAAACACTGTATACACCCTATTTGTATTGTTTTTTTGTTTTTAAGAATATTTTATGTTAAATAATTTATCATACTATTACAAAAATCTGAACATCACACTAAAAGTCCTCTCTTTTAAGGTTTCTTTTTAATTTTTTTTTGAGTAATCATATTAGCTTTATTTATAATTGCCTAAACTGGAAGCATCCAATAGATGAATGACTTTTTTTTTAAAGTGTGTCCGTATAATGTAATATTATCTAATTATTAAAAAATAAGTGAGTTGGCAAACCATGAAGATATGACAGAACAGAAACTTAAGTCCATATTTCAACCCTATCAAATAGGTTTCATCTTGATGAGAACAAAGTCAAAACAAACCGTGGCCAAGAAATAATAACTGAGAAAGATTTGCTACCTCTAGCAGGTAAGGAGAGCCAAAAGCAATGCCTTCCTTAAAGGCAGTGTGGGAATTTTACTTAGAAAGCCTATAAATATTAATATAAGAAAGCACTATAAGAATGGACACTTCTCTGAGCATGCTCAGTTAAGGAGTAGATATTGCTGACCATACGCAGTTTAAAGTCATGCTTCATGAAAGAATAATAACAGACACATTGGGGCATTCATGGCCTGGGTCATGTAGCAGATATGAAAAAGCAAGAATGGCAAACAGGAACACTTTGGGATATGCTCAGTTTGTATCCTAAAGGTGGCAAACATGTTCAGATTCACCAAATGATAGTGGACTGAAATGCCTCTAAGCTTATCTAAGTTTGTTCAAAAAACTTTGGTTGAAATAAAGGAAATGACACTCTAGTGGTATATCAGTA